TAGGCAAAATTAGCCGAACCTCGTAAATTCTGGTGTTCCTTTTATTGTTGTTTTATTGTCTTATTTATTATTTGGTGGCTGTCATAATTTTTGGTATAGTAATTGTGACTTATTCACACTATATACATTTGGCTTCCGCAACACTAAGTCCCTAGAAATGTTGCTAGTAAGATGCAAATTCACCTCCAGATTACAGTGTCTTTACACACAGATTAAGAAAAATAAACTGTTTCTAACACCATTTTCTCTCATACATCTATGCAGACAGCAAAACTTGCTAAAGGGGAGGAAGCTCTTGATCTTGGCCTAGTTGATGCTATAGTTTCACCTAACCAATTATTGGAAACTGCTCGTAAATGGGCACTCGATATTTGGGAGCGCAAAAGACCTTGGATTCCCACTCTTAACAGAAATGACAAGGTAGAGTCTGTTAGTGATGCAAAGGATATTCTAAAGTTTGCTAGAGCTCAAGCCATCAAACAGGCTCCAAATCTTTATCATCCTTTAGCCTACATAGATGTTATTGAAGAGGGCGTAGTGTCCGGTCCACGTGCTGGACTTATGAAGGTTCAATTCTGGATCCGCCTCTATTTTTAAACTATAAATTCCGTTGTCACAATGTGAACACAACTCTGCTATTACAGGAGTATGAAACATTCGAAGTTCTTCTTCGTTCAGACACTTGTAAGGCCTTAGTCCACATTTTCTTTGCTCGTCGTGGAACGACTAAGGTGATCGAAATTAAATTATTTTAGAGAGATACAGTCATATCTCTCTATAACAACATCTTTATATAATAGCTACTCCTATTTATTATAAAAGCCAAGTTTTTTTGTGGAACCAATATTTATGCTATGTTATAATATATGTTCTCTATAACAGCACTTTGCTATAACAGGAAAAAAATCCGGAACAAGTGAGGTTGTTACAGAGAGGTTTGACTGTGATTACAAGATGTTGTATTATAAACCTACTGATTTTCTCTCTTGACACAAACAGGTTCCAGGGGTGACTGATCTGGGATTAGTGCCACGACACGTTAAGAAAGTTGCGATTGTTGGAGGTGGATTAATGGGTTCTGGAATTGCAACTGCATTTCTTCTTAGTAATTATGCTGTGATCTTAAAAGAAGTTAATGACAAATTTCTGGAGGCTGGGATTGATAGAGTAAAAGGTAAAAAGGTCATTCTTTTGCTGTCATACTACTTTTAACTTATTACACTTGATATGATTATGTGACTAATACATTATTTAATCACTCAGCAAATCTGCAACGCCACGTTAAAAGGAAAATTGAGTGAAGAGAAGTTTGAAAAAGCTCTCTCCCTACTCAAGGGTACTCTTGATTATGAAAGCTTTAAAGATGTTGACATGGTCATTGAGTCTATATTCTCAGTTTTGTAAATCATCTATTTTTTCTAACTCTTATCTAACTTATAGTCGCTTTCTTTTAATATGCGTAATAGGCTGTCACTGAAGACGTACCTTTAAAGCAACAAATATTTATTGATCTAGAGAAGTTTTGCCCTCCACATTGTATACTTGCTAGTAATACCTCTACAATTGACTTGAATTTGATTGGAGAAAGGACCAAATCTCAAGATCGTATTATTGGAGCTCACTTTTTCAGGTGATTTCTGTTGGAAATGTTATATTCAGTAACAGTTTTCTTGTACTTTCCTCATTTGTTCTATTTATTGATTATTATTGTAATCTGGTGCAGTCCGGCTCATGTGATCCCACTTCTGGAAATTGTTCGCGCTCAACAGACATCTCCACAAGTAATAGTAGACTTGCTTGATGTTGGAAAGAAGATAAAGAAAACCCCTGTAGTAGTAAGGAATTGCACTGGTTTTGCTGTCAACAGAATGTTCTTCCCTTATACCCAAGCTGCTCTTTTGCTTGTTGAACATGGAACTGATATGTATTGCATTGATAGAGCTTTTACTAAATTTGGAATGCATATGGGTCCCTTCAGGTAAAACATAGATATGCCTAAATCAGTCGAAAGACATTCTTAAACATAAATATGGTGTGAAACATGATGTCCGCATGATTTTCCTCAAAAGATCTCATACCACTGACATGATCCCTTCAACTTAACTTATCAACTTCCAATGTGTGATTGTTGTTCGCACACCCCACAATGACCTGATTTAGTATTTTGATTTCCTACACGCAGACTGTGTGATCTTATTGGAATTGGTGTTGCAATGGCTACTGAAGCTCAGTTTATATTGAATATGCCCGATAGAACTTACAAGTCAATGCTTATTCCACTCATGCAACAAGATAAAAGATTAGGTACAAATTCGCTCTTTTGAGATCTTAGGAATGTTGCAAATGTTAGTTTGAAGTGTCTATCAATAAGCACTATACTTAAGAGATCATAGTGTTAAGGGATACAGTAGATATGCCCTAGATCCAATATCATATTTGATGATTTGAACATATTTTTTATCAACGTTATTTGATATAAAATATATGGCATTTGATATTCTTTTATCATTATTATTAATTGTTTGATTAATTTGATAAGGTCCTTGATTAAATTTTGAGATTTATCATTGTGATAGAGATCATGATAATGAGAGCAAAGTCTCTTACAATTTAATCTAAATTTGTTCTTGATCGTAGGATTATTAACTTGGACATTAGTGATCCGGTTAGATCAATATTTATGTGATCGTCTTTATGGGATAAAGATTAGTTGATCTCATTAACTAAATTACATAGATAGATGATGCATATAGAGATATGATCATTGAACCGACTCATTGGATAATTCCTAATGGTTAGAATTACCATAAACTGTCAATAGGATATTCTCTTGAAGAATGTGATGTAACAGTTTCCTTTGACCTGATATCGTCATAGTAAGACAAGTTATTTATTGTGCTTTGATACCAGACATTTATGGCCCTTNCAAATTGAAGTTTTCTATTTGGAATAGAAAATTAAATTATATCTCTTGGTTGAATTATATATATATGATATATATAATATAAATTAATATTGATTTATATAAAGGTTATATATATATATATAATTAATTCATCCTTACCAATTTGGAATTGGAGATGAAAGTCCACAAAGACATACACGTAATTCCCATCAGGAATAGGATATACATGATTGTCATTCGAAACCCTTTGTGGTTTTTAATTTGGAATTGGATTTATGGAATGTCCATAAAACACCTTCGGCAGTCACGTTTTCCAAAAAAACGTGATTTGATTTTTCCATACATAAGAATAAACTTTACCCCAAATAAATGATTACCTCAACCAAATAGGAAAAGGGTTTGTAGGTGATGCTATATAAAGGGTAATGGAGAAAATTTGCCATATTATTATTATTAATTCTTGAGAAGAAAAACACTTTGTGAAAGTGAGAGTACAATACAAAGCCAAGAGAGAAAATACAATTATGTTTCTTGTTCTTCTAACATTGAGTTGAGATTTTTGAGAAAAATTTCAATACAATATTTTTCGTTCAATTTGTTCGCGGGTTTCATTGATCAAAGAGTTGATAGCAAAGATCGGTCTCGTTGTGGATACGCATAGAGTCTTCGCGCTATCGAAGAATTTTTGAAACGAGACTCTCTTCACCAGGTACGTTTTAGATCCGATCTTTGACATGTAAATAAATTTTAAACACGAAAAGATCTACCTAGAATTATTATTGTATTTCGCTGCGTTTTACCAACACCTATACGCAATCCATCACATAACCCCTCCGAATTGAAGTTTGACACACTTATTGTAGGTGAAACGACTCAGAGAGGGTTCTATATATACGATGAAAGATGCAAAGCCAAGCCTGATCCAGAAATTAAGAAATACATTGAGAAGGCAAGAGATATTTCTGGTGTCAGTACTGATACTAAGGTTTCTCTTTCTCCTCTTAATTTGTCTTCTCCCTCTATTGATATTTAAAAGTACTAGTAATTGGAATCATTCCTGTTTTACTCTGCCAGCTCTTACACTTAAGTGTTTTGGACTTGAATCAGCTGGAAAAACTCTCGGACAAGGATATCGTCGAAATGATATCATTCCCTGTAGTTAATGAAGCATGCAGATTACTTGCTGAAGGCATTGCTGTCAAAGCTGCTGATCTTGACATTGCTTCTGTTATGGGCACATCTGTTATGTTCTGATTTGCCAAACAAGTGCACGTGTTTACCGCAATTAAGCAGAAGCCATAATTTGTTATTACTTCATCCGTCTTAAAATGCTTGTTATTTTATCTTTATAAAGGAAAAAAAAAAGTCTGGTATACTAAGCTCCTGTTATACGCGGGGTTCGGGGAAGGATCGAACCACAATAATTTTTTATCCGTATATATATAAACTGTCAAATTAAATTCATACACAGATGAATTAATCATTTGAATCGACATTGGATAGCTAATAATTAATTTTATACAAGAACTATTATACGAGGTGAACCCTTTTCGCGTAATGAAGAAAATTTAATGAAGATAATCCCAGAATAATATGACAAACATTTAAGAATAGAGTGTATCTCATGCTTGTCTTGTGACTATATGTTTATAACTCAAAGGACAGCTCGGTGCACAGGGCAATCCGGTGCCACACAGGATCCGAGGAAGGGTCGCACCCCAATGGATGTGATGTAGACAGTCCACCCTAATGCGAGCAATAATGATTGTTTTCACTGCTCGAACCTATGACCTATAGGTCACACGGAAACCTATAGCAAATTATTACGGGATTTAGATTATATACATGATGTAATGAAATTTTATGCTATCACATTATCTTAATCATCATAAGCAGATTACTTTTTGTATCATTTAGGTTGGTAGTCAATGTTACTATAAACAGTTTATTACCTATAATTGGCTTTTGAGATCTAACGCAATTTCTTTTATCTATAAAAATTTCATAAATTAGATCAATTATAAGACTACATATTCTTTGTGGAGACAAAGGTACATAATAAAAAAAAAAAAAAAAAAAAAAAAATTATGGGTGTGTTTGGTAGGAAGTTTTTCAATTTTTCCATATTTGGTTGACTTAAATGTTTTGAAAATCATTTTCCTTATGAATTCATTTTCCTCCAAACGAAGGAAAATATTTTTCTTATCAAGAGAGTGGAAAATGTTTTCCAAAACTTCTTCTCAACCTTCTCACCCTCACCAACCCACCCCACCCCCTCTTCAAAAAAGACTTTTTTTTTCAATTTCAATTT